TAACTCACCTAAGCACTCTATGACTAGATCTGTCACATTATCTATCAACAAAGGCTGGTCATACTTGACATCTGCCTACCTTGCAGTGGTGAAAATGAATGAGCTAGTGTTTGAGATATATCAATTTAAAGAGGGCAATAAAAGTGTGGTATCAGTGAAGAATCTATTTATAACTTATGTTTGTTTGATGCATTAGTTGAACATTTATTAATCTCTAGGTAAATTTACAAATGTCATAGAAATAGGACTTTTAGGACATCCATTTATTCATTCAATACATATGCTAACTTTGAGCCCGGCACTGTTCTAATGCAGAAATAGCAATGAATAAAAAAAGACTACATCCTTGCTTCCATGGAGCTTACATTCTAATCATGAGAGGCAGTCAATAAACCAAAATTTGAAAAGAAATAGTATGATAGAAGACGCTAAGTGTGATGGAGAAATTTTTTTAAAAGGGAAAAGGATACGAGTGTGGGACAGGGGTGCAGGTTTAAATAAGGTGGTCAGAGAAAGCCTCCCTGAAAAGGTGGCTTTTGGACTTAAAGGAAGTGAGGGATGAGCCATGTTGATATTGGAGTAAAGAACATTCCAGGCATAGGAATAATGGGGAAGGGGATTACAGGATAATAGGAGGTAAGGTCAGAGAGGTGAGAGAGAGAGAGACAGTGAAAAGCCAGACTGTGGGGAAGTCAAGTCATTGCCAGGACACGGGCTTCTACTCTGAGTGATTTGAGAAGCCATTGATGGCAGCCGGGGACCAGAGGACATGAACATTAGTGGCATATAAACAATTTACTTTCCTGACCCAGAAGAAGTCAATTGTATGAGGTGATAGCAATAACAGTGATTTGAGCAGGTCAAATCCTGAGTGCACTTGAGCCTCTCCCTTTTTCTTCTTACTAATATAGCAAAATGCTGGGGTGAAAGTCAGCCTGGATAGATGAAAAATCAAATGAGTTATAGACTATTTCCCAAGGAAATACAGTCCTGTTACCTTCCATGCATGTAACAGCAACAACTAAGCTAACGGGAGTGCCTGGTAAGGGGCCTGCATTAGTAAAAATGTATGAGTGATTTATAATTAGCCCATTTTTATGGGTTTCTAAAATGCCTGAGAAGATTTTGTTTAACTGAGTCATTGGAATGATCAGCCCTTCAATTTCTTTTTCACTATTAATTTGCTTGGCAGTCCCTCTATTCTCTAGATGCTGAAAAGGTTAAGCTTCCATCCAGCCCCTGTCCAAATGATAACAAATTGTGAATTTGTGAAATTCAATGAATAAAGATTTACTGTAGCATTAGTGTCTATTTAGAGCCACACAGGACCCTACCTATCTGACAACCTAACCAAGCAGAGTTCACAAAATGAACACATTCCAACAAACTGAATATGCTACATGGCAGTTAATTGCCCTCTGGCCGGTGATAAAGCACCGTCAATAGAAATGGGTCTGAACATTGTTAACTGCCACTGCACACCATTGGCGTCTACCCTTAGGAATCTATCCCTAGACTCTTTGCAGTCTGTACAGCATAGAACTTGGTTGATGGCAAACTCTTTATGATTATTATAGCATGTGATCCTTTCAACAGTTCTGTGGGGTAGGCAATTTTATAATCCCCGTCTTGTAGGTGAGAAGTTGAGAATCCAAGAGATGAAATGATTTGTCCAGGATCATTTAGACTGTGAGTGGTGAAGTAAGATGAGAATCATAGTCTGCTTTTTTGACCTTAACCACTCTGTGTGTGCTCTAAATCCCTACATTAGTCAGGTACTTGGAAGCCTCGGTCATACTAGTAATACCGTTTAGATGCTGCTGCTGACCACGTGATTTGTAGTCAGAACGCGGGGAGTTGATATGACTCTCACATTTCTCCCAACTGGGCAACCACATTTGGCCTCCCCTCCTTTATGTGTAAATGAAGATGAGAATGTCTACCTAACAAGGTTGTTGTAGGGATTAGTTGAAATCGTAGATGTGGAAGTACCTCGGGCCACACCTGGCATATTAACTGATTATACATGTTTCCGAATCCTTTTGGATACTCTATCATGAACTAGCTGTCCGTCTCTCTCAAGGTGGTAATATGGATGTTGTCCCTAAAAGGAGATATATTTACGGATTCATTTTAAGGATTAGAATAGTGTGGGTTTTCCCTCTATTATTCATATTCCCTGTCCAATCGTTCTTTCATCCACGGGCATCCATCTAGTAAGTAAAAGTTTAATAGTAAATTACTTGAACATATACGAAAGCCACCAGTGTCCTTGATCTTTATCAGCCCCACTTGAGCCTACTGGCATCGCCCCTAACCGGTTGGCAAAGCTGGGATCAGTGCATGCCGTGTTTAGTCTTTCAAGATAATTTAACCTCCTTCTCTTTTGCTGGCTTTTATTTTTATTCCTTGTAAAAAGGAACAGGCCCGAAAAGTAAAATCAGTGAACGTTTGATCTGTTCCTATCTGATACCCTGAACCTTGCTGTCAGGAGGGTGCCACAGCTGCCCCTTTAGAACAATAAAAGAACTGGTAATAGTCCCCCCCCAAAAAAAAGAAAGAAACCCACACATGCAGTGTGACTGTCATTTGCACTTCTTTGTAACAGTCTAGACATACTGTATGGAGTGTTAGCCAATGTGATAATTGGTAAGTAGATCTTTGCCCATGGATTGGGCTTACCTATGAATTCTAATTTGGGGGTTGCATAACATTATTGGGCTGCCTGCCTGTAGCCTTTCTCGATTCAACAGAAGTCTCACTGTTCTCTCAGAAAACAGAAGTCTTAGAGGGTCAGCCCTCTATAATAGGCAATTATTAAATATGAAGCTTTAGCTCGGAATTTATAGCCCCTGACTGGATGAGAATGTGAGTCCCAGTTTTGAATTGGCTCTGTTTGGTTTCAGAATTCAGTTTTGAAAGCCATTTGGCGTTTCTATTTATTTAAAATCGACTTCTTTTCAAAACTAAGTTCAAATTGTGTGGCTGACAGGTTGAAACCTGCGAGTGCCCGATCCGATGATCACTAATCCATTTGTTACCAACTGAAAGATAAAGGTGACTGCCCATTTGAAAAAGCGGTTTTTCCTTGTGCAGTGTATTATGCACCAATTCCAGACATCAGAGAACTCTTTTAAACAGCCTGATATTTTTGGCAGCTTTGCAGTGCATCCAGATGTTTGATTAGCTGAGTAAAGAGATAATGTGCTAATAGGAGATTGACAACAACATATTGGAGAGGTGGCGGTGGCATCTAAAATCTATAGAAAATCTGTTAATATGATTTGCTGAATGAGGGGAGAAAGGAGAGCAGAAAGGGACTTCTTACTGGAACACATCCACACTTTAAAGTTGGTCATCGGTGAAAAAGAAAAAGGTCTACAGAGAAGTAGAAATCGGGGCAAAATGCACTGAACAAACCGGGAAGGCAAGAAAGCAGCAAACTGCATTTTAGATCAAAGTAGTGTCTATGGCACAGGGAATTTGAACGGACCTCATGTGGGGAAAAATATTTCCTGGGTGCCCTAGGGCAGCTGTTCAAACGTCTTCTCTCTGGGTGTTCCTGGCTTTCATTGCCCCCGAGCTGTAGTACGCCCCCTCTGGCTCCCCGGGAGCAGTGCATCAGGGAGAGGGAGCAAGCGAAAGAGTGGCAGGAAGCCAGGGCTGGTAACTTGCTGCAAGCGGCCCTAAGGAGCAGGTGAGCCATCTGAACCTCCCTATTCCACAGCCAGCCAAGAAGATTAGCATCTTTATATTTACTCTTGTTAAACATCTAAATTAGAGCCACTTGTCTGCTCTAAGGACCTTAGAAGGACTTTAATTTTTTTTTTTTTTTTTTTTTTTTTTGCTTATTGGGTGTGGAATGGAGTGTCCATATGCTCAGTTAATCACTCCCATTCCTTCTTTTTGCACGTAGACTCCTATCACACTTACTGCACTTTTAACTAGTGTAAGAGTCAGCTGTTTATACGCCTATTTCTCCTACTCAGCTCCGAGCTCCCAAAAACAGGAAAAGTGTCTTCTCTCTTTACTTCCCCAGTCACCTAACACAGTGTTTTGCGCCTACTAGATTCTCAATGTAACCCCTTCTCTTGCAACCCCTGTGCCCTTCGTCAATTCCTCTACCAAAGAATGAAGCCTGTATGCGATTGTTTTTTATTGGTACAACCATGGAGTCAGGAGTCTAGAGTAAACAGTGAAGGCCTAGGAAATGAAAGAGAGCAACTTGTCACATTCATATACCTGAGATTTATTAGTACTTTCATCAAATAACTGCTGTTAGGAACAAGTAAGCTCTAGTTGCCTTTACAAATTCCAAAAAAAAAAAAAAAAGGGTTCTGAAACATTAGTGTGCTTCAGAATCATCCAGAATCACCCAGATTAAGTCTGCATAATCCTGGGCTCAAAAAAAATCTGATATAATAGGTGAGGCTCAAGAATATGCATATTTCATAAGCTCCCCAGATAACTGACTGCACATTTGAGAATCACTGCCCTGCTCCAGACACTTTCTCACTGTGAGAATACCAACCTCTGTTTTGAGAATCACCACTAGACAAGAATATTCAATGTTTTAAAAAAATGCAAACAAATTCAGGTTGGCTAGCATTTGTTAATTGTGTGCTCATAAATGTACATGGTGTGAGAAATTCAAAAGAATTAGAAGAATCATTGCTATCCTGGAGGAATGGTCTTGCTGAGGGAGAAGGAAACTTCTAAAGAGAGTGATACCTCATGAATACTCTATCCAAATGTAAACAATGTGGTATGGCCCATAAATGCTCAAGAATTCAGGGAAGAAAGATTTGTGAGCAAAATAGTTTGTGCCATCTAAACTGAGTAAGTTTTCATGAGAAACATATGAATTTAATAGATTCTAAATTCAAAACATGGATGGTTACCTTCATCTGTATTCTAGGTTTTTCTCCATTTGTGCGTATTTTAAACAATGTTGTTTCTCTGAAAGCTAAATTTCAAAAAAAAATGATTTTTTTTTCCAGATGGTTTGACGGACTGTGTGGACCCTGATTGTTGTCAACAAAGCAACTGTTATGTAAGTCCTCTCTGTCAGGGCTCACCAGATCCTCTTGACCTCATTCAGCAAAGCCAACCCCTCTTCTCTCAGCACACCTCAAGACTCTTCTATGATCGAATCAAGTTCCTCATTGGCAAGGACAGTACTCACGTCATTACTCCAGAGATCTCATTTGACAGCAGGTATATATGTATTTATTTTATTTCTTAATAAACAGTGGTCATGTTTTCCCTTAACTGTGAAAGGAAGATATCCTCTAAAGATCAGGCTACTTTCCATTCCACACAGTACATATCGATTTCTTTTTTAGGCTTCTCTGGAATACGTAAGACCTTACTGATTAGTTAAGAGAGAGAAGTCATTTCTTGAGATTCTTTATCATAAAGGATAAATGTGTGTGTGTGTGTGTACAGTTGACCCTTGAACAAGTTTGAATTGCATAGATCCACTTATATGCGGACTTTTTATAGTACAGTACTGTAAATGTATTTTCCTTATGATTGTCTTGATAACATTTTTTTCTCTAGCTTACTTTATTGTAACAATATAGTATACAATACATATAACATACAAAATATGCATTTATCAGCTGTTTCTGTTATCAGTAAGGCTTCCGGTCAACAGTAAGCTATTAGTAGTTAAGTTTTTGAGGAGTCAAAAGTTATATGTGGATTTTCAACTGCATGGGGGATTGGCACCTCTAACCCCTGTGTTGTTCAAGGGTCAACTGTGTATACACACACACACACACACACACACACAATGTGTATTACTTGTAGTAAAGTATAGGTGGGGCTTTAAATGACAAAAACAATTGAAGTATAATTTGCAAATTTATTATTTAGCTTCTGGATTGATCCCTTGAAAACCCTTGAATTTCAAAAGCTAAATTTGAATTTTATTCTGTGATGTAAAATGTTTATATATGAAAGAGTTGGGTGAATTTGACATCCTAATGTGAAATGCAAGACTTGTGAAAATCTGTCTTCTAGGGGCGCCTGGGTGGCTCAGTCGGTTAAGTGTCCAACTCTTGATTTCGGCTCAGGTCATGATCTCGGGGTCATGGGATCCAGCTCTCTGTGGGGTTCCATACTCAGCGCAGAGTCTGTGTGGCATTCTCTCTCTCCCTCTACCCCTCCTCCCACTCACACTCACTCTCGCTCTCTCGCTCTCTAAAATAAATAAATAAAATTTTTAAAAAAAGAAAGTTTGTCTTCTAGGAAACCTCAAATGCATGAATTGTCACTAAAGACCTAAGACCAAAGCCCAACCCAGTAGGTAAAGAAATTTTTAAAATTAACTTACTTATTTGAAGTGTAATCACATGAATTTGCTCATTGTTATTCTCTGCTTCATCTTCAGCAATGATATATTTTACTAATTAGCACTAGACATAAATAAGTCACTGAAGTCAACATTTCTAGTCTCTTAAAAATGTCCTCCTTTGCTCATTCCACAAGCAGATGTTTCACTACTTTCCGGACTATTACAAATGGGAATTCAAAAATCATGCAAAGTATCTCCAGGAGCCCCTGTCTACATCCCACCCACTTTGTTGCATGCTGGTGGGTGTGATCAGTCCCCAAGAGAAAACTCAGTCAAGAGTTTATATTAATATGAGTGACAATCTAAGAAAATGACAACTCCACCTGGACCTATACAAAGTACGAAAGGAAAAAAAAAAAAGATATGCGTGGAAATGTAAAACATTCAGCATCCTTTCCACAGATTGTATACAAGAACTGATACTGAAACTTAAGACTTCCTCATTGTTTTTTTATTATTGGGCTGTTGTGACCTTTTAGGTGTCTGACAGAACCCAAAACCCAAATGCCAACGCGTCACAAGAAAGGCCTGTTCTGCCAGGGGATCTAGTCGAAGTTTGAGTTCTCCCAAGAGACTCAGTTATCCCCATTCTGAAGTGTTTCTCCCAGCCCAGTAACAACTCTGGGGTAACTTTCGGGGGGGGGCGCTGCAGTCAAAGTCATTATTTAGATGGTGGAGGCTTAGGGATTGTACAGCAGAGAAACAAAAGGAACAAAATGCAGCCATTACCCCCATTCTCCTAACAAAGGTAAAGGGAAGTCATCACTCTGCAGCTTTATCCATGCTCAGGGAAAGTGAGTCTAAACAACAACAAGAAGAAATAAGTGGAAGAAATAACAACCTCCATGACATGGAGGTCTGTTAAATGACTCCGCAAACCCAAGGGAGAAGGTCAGGACCCGAGAGAGGCAGGAGACAAGTCGTTGTGACCCAGAGCAGGACCAGGATGTCCTCCGAGCCATAAACTTTGCAAAGCCAAGAGAGACATGCACCCCTGCGGTTCAGCTTCAGGCTTCAGCCACATTTGCCAGCCCTGGCAGAGCGAACAAACCGATTACCTGTTGTGGCTAAGGCCCTTTTCTTCTCCTGGTTTGATTGAGTTGTCCTCATTCTTTTGTAAAATGCTCCAAGTTATCATTTGGCTCTGTATGTCACAATGGAATTCAGAACGACGGGTCCCCTTCATCCAGTGGTTTCAGCTATTAGAGACCTATCGAGTCTGTCAGAAAAGGTGCAGGCCTTTTCCAAGGGATAGAGTTGAGGACAAGCGATCTCACTCCACCTCCCCTAAAAGATCAGCACATGCAGTGTCACTCTGGGTAAAATCAATCTGACTCCAATCCCATATATAAAGAATAATAGTTACAAGCTCTTACATCTAAATAGTACCTTTTCATTTGCAAAGCCCTCAAACATGCCTCATTGCATTTTATCCTCATAAGTATCCCTGTGAAGTGGCAATTTGTATTAGCACATTTTCTGTATGAGGAAACAGGCCCAGAGAGGTCAAGTAACTTGCCCAACATCACACAGCCACCAAGTTTGTAGCGTAGCAACTCTGGTAACATTTCTGTTACACCACAGCCACCCCATTTCAGCTTGTCCTTAAATAAACCTGGTGACTTGGCTCTAATTTCTGCTGGAGAAGTTGCATCTGGGTCAACACAAAAAAAAAAAAAAAAAAGTGAAGTTTAAAGATCCAGCTCCATTTAATGCATTTCAGTGGCATTTTTGCAAACTATAAACCAGTGTTAATGAACTTCCTGTTGGTAGAAGAACACAATTGAATGCCGGGTAAAAATGGGCCCTTTGCTAGATGTAAATTGTTCTCAAGCATTTATTATGTGTCAGGTCTCTTACTGAGCTCCTCCCTGGGCTATCTCATTTAATCCTTACCAAAACTCTATGTGGCAGACACTGTCGTTATGCCTACTTTCCAGGTGAGGAAACCGGAACCGAGGTGCCAAGTAGGGGACTTGCCCACGGTCACAACCCACGAGTGTCAGAGCCAGGATTTGAACCCAGACAGACTGGTACTGAGAGCCTGACCTCTGAACCACCATGCCGAGCCCCTTTGGCTATTTAGAAGGCTAGGCTAGCTAACCCTGAAAAGACTTACGGCCCTTAGATATCCCTGTCTGTGACAGATCTAGAACATTGCTGTGCTAAAATCAGGTGACCCACTCTGCCTTTCTGCTTTTGTCACATAATTGAGAGCTAGCCGGATAAGCAGATGAAGAGAACATTGTCAAGGGGCTCATTTGCCTGCTGGCAAAATGTGACCCCACAGATGACTCTCTGCTGAGTGTTGCCACCACCAGAAGCCTTTGGAGCTAAAGACAGTGGCACGCAGGTGACTTAATTGTTGCAAGGACACACAGAGGTTAAATATCTGTTCATCCTTGTGCATCCAAGTGAGACTAGCTTTTGTTGTCATAAGCTTGCTACACCGGCACATGAAAGCCCATGAAATGTGTACCTCCTGTGCCCCATGAGAGCATAATGTCACTGTGAGCATGTAACCTGTGCACCATCACATCTCTAGCAAGCCCACCTCAGCTACCGGTTTTTTCCCAAATACGTTTTACCCAGTAGCCTGAGTTTCTTTCATTTTTTCAATCTGCTCCAAACATGACTACAAAGTAAACCACATATTATACATGCCCTGTATGACTTATTACTTTTTAATAATGTAAATAGGTGAACAGCAGCATTATTGATCTTCAGTGTCTAAGCATTTAATCACTATTAATAATGTAAAAGGTTTTTATAAATATGTAAAAACAAGAGTACATTAAACTAAACGACAGCAGTAATTTGCAAAGCCAGACATTTCACTCGCCATCACTAATGGAGAAGTGCATTTAAAAAACCAGATCCTACCAGGGTGAGTGCAACGGCTGACAGCAAGGTCTGGCACATGAGAGGCTGACCCCACATCAATCCATGTCAGGCATCGACATCGGAGGTTGCTTCATATCAGCCCACAGATGTAGTTCGTTCGGCCCAATATTTAGAAATTAGAAGATCTCACATAAAAATTGGAATGTATTCCTTCTTTAGAAAATGTACAAAGCTTCGCATCTCTGCACCCACGGGCATGGCGTAAGAGGTGTGGAGTGGAGGGCCACTGCCTGTCTGGATGCGCTATGACGTGGCTTTCTAGCTCCCCCTTCACTGGTTCCCTTACACCTGGCTCACTTCCCTCCCTTTCACTGGCATGCCTGGCCCTGCTTGGTATTTGGGGTTGTCACCCCCGGACTACACAGCTTCTATAGTCTTCCTTGGAAAGACCTCAAGTGTTTGGTTTTTCCTTTCTGATCTCTTTCCCTCAGGGTCCTCACAAATCTAATCTTATCATTTTACTTAATTTGGGGCCTTAACTATCTTGGTTTAAAAAGAGAAAAAAGATGACTGGTCATGAACTGGAAATCACGTTAATGCAATGATATTTCCACCCTTAATTCACTAGGGTACCTGTGTTTACCTTGGGAAGAGTTGGCATCCACTCTGCCTCACACCTTAGGCTCCCTTGAGGCTGTGGATTTTATCCTAGGGTATCACATCTCATCAATCATGACATCAGCTAATTCAGGGCCTGCCGTAGGAGAAGCAAAATGTCCACTTTTATGACAAGAGTGTGTCTGTTGAGAGGCATCTGACTATTGTGTTTATCACTTAGGAAAGTTTTAAGAACAATTTAAAGATCTAAAAATTTGCAACAATGCTGCTGGGTGCAGTTATGGCAGCTTCTTTTGCCCACTCCAGTTAGAATGCCTACCCTTAATTGAAAAGTTCTAGAGTGGTGACCAGACTTAATATAGCATTAAGCACATAACAGCACTGTTAACAGGCT